ATACAATGATTAATAACTGTGCGTAATAACGAGAAATAATAAAGTTTGAGGCAATTTTTTTTCAATTAATTATTATATTCATTTTTTTAGATCATCTATTACAGATTATGAATATTTAGATTATGATTTTTGTTTCTTCAACGACCGGTATAATCACTGTCATCTATAAATTATTATATCATAACATGTTATTTTTATCACATGCCCGAAACTGCTGCAAATTTTCTCATTGACGAGGATTTTCAACAACACGATGAGAGCGCAGATTATGACACTGATCACACTGCAATTGCATCTTAACACTGGAGGCAAGCTTGTACACGGTGATCATATAGACATAGGAAGACTAATGTGATTCACACGCATGAAACGGTTCAACCGCTTGATTATATTTCATTATCCGAATCGGCATAACATCGAACGAGGATGCCTCTCATAGAGACCATGCCGCATTAATCGATCTGATTGAATCGTTGTTGAAACGTTTAGAGTTCATTGGCTGGAGGTTTGGGAATAAGTCCTGACCTCTTGGAGGGTGCTGAGCCAAGTGTTGCAGCTCCACTTATGGCCGGCGATCTGGATGATGGTCTTATGTCAAGGGCCAGGGACACCGGAAAGTTCTTGTACAAGTACTTGAAGCCACAGGAGCGCGTTGAAAAAATCAACATCATGGTAAGTGGAATAAATTTTTTTTACAAGTGATATCATCTGAAGTCACTCGAGCAACTTATTCTATGGATCTAGAAATCCAAAGAATATTGAGATATTGAAAGATTTCTTGATGCAAGAATTCAAGAATCAAGAATTTATGATTCCTCGAACTTTAGATTACTATAATATTAATAATGATATAATTTCTTGTGTATGTTTAATATAAAGATGTAATTATACATTTTTTGATCCATTAGAAAAGTATACATCTTTTGCAGATGGGCAAATTAAAGAACGCACTGGATGCCGAAACTACCTCAAGATTGGAGCTATCTCAGAACGGAGACGCAGACAGTATGAAACTAATCGCACAGAGCGACTTACGAGTACAGGCACTAAGCGTGCTGCTTCTGCATTACTGCGCCGGCCTGCAACACGCGCAAGAGGCGGTGGACCGACCGCAAGCTAGCAAGGATTCTTAACAGGAATGCGTCCGATAAATACGGCTTTAAGATAATATCGTATTTTTTCCCTTCCCTTCTTTTCTCATAAAAATGAATATGGAAAATGTAGCGATATTTGATAATGGCATAATAATGATTTGTTTTCGCCATTTATTTCATAATGAGCAACGATTAGATAACACTAATGCAACGTTGCATCAATTTTATGATGTCGACGTTTTTTTTAATATTAACTTAATATTGATTAATTATAATATTACAATCATACTGTTGTTACCAGGTTGTATAAAGTGCACAGAGATATTTATATTATTATGCACACTGACAAATAGGGAGCAAATATCTAACTATTTATAGGCATTCCATCGGTGGAAATATCGGAATTACAATTATATCTCATATGTGTTACTTCTCTTCATTTCTACTATTTACTTGTATAATAGTTTAGAACACATTTACTTACATAGTATTATTACAACGTTACATAACGATACATTTTCCAAAATTTAACGTTAATGTAACATTACATAAACATACATATTATACTGGTACAGAGACAGAATATGTGTGTATGTGTTTGAATACACATATAGCTATCCAAAACTTATTCTACATTAGTCAATTGATTGAATTTCAACACTATTGGCATGAATGCCGCGATAAGAAGACAGAGATGATGAAATACAATTATTATTTTATTCATTCTAATAATAGTAATTACTTAACAAATATTTAACAAATTCTTCTGTCAAAATCTTTTTAAAGAAGCTTGATATTATTTTTTATATCTCCTTTATAATTTATAAATTTCATTATTAGCAATTGCAAATGGATACGTAATTGTTTGCAGAAATGACCGAAATTCTGCATGTTTTACGTAATGCACGTAAATAACATACATATTCTAATGATTTTAACAATTTGCGTGTTACAATTAATATACGTAGCTGAATAATACTCAGAAATGATGTATCATTCACAAAGAGAGAACACCAAACTCGTTAAAATTAGTATTAATAGATTATTATATTAATAATTATTGCATAATTATTGTGTATTTGTAGAAATGTACGCTTACAACAGGAGAGTATTTTGGTTTGGGAAACAATGCGCATTTAAAAAAGGCTTTTCATAAGAAGCGCGATTACTCAAATGCCTAAATTTTATCTGATTATAGTTTTACGCGATATATATATATATATATATATATATATATATATATATATATATA